GTTGGGACTTACCTCCACTTTAGCATCGTTCGCGTGCTCAGTACCCGCTGTGGGCTCACCGCGGAGTACCTGCAAAAGTTCGGGAAGGCGTAGTTAAGGGGTGGATAGTTGTACTTGCTCTTGAATCGTTCTGTATGTGTTTTGTAACAATCTCCGCTCTTCATGTTGTCGTATTGCTGTCAGTTACACCGTCGTGTCTGAATCTTCCCTATAAGAAGCTGGGGCGAAGATCTCGGTCTTGGCTGGACGTAGTGTGAAAGCGATACCCTTGTGAAAGCGATACCGTTATAGAGCTCGGTCACGATCCCTGGGGAGTTTGATATACTTAATGTGTGGACGACATTGGGATCGAATGCACATGGGGTGTGAACGACATCGCTCTAACCGAGAGGGTGTTTGGTATAATCGTCGGATATGGTAGGGCGCGAGTGATCGGCATCGACGCATGGACGTAGATCACAGGACACGTGATGAACGCGAGCTTGTGTATCAAATCCGGCATCCAAAGCAGTAGCCGGTGACGTCATGGCTTTCAGTAGCGTGTCCCTCCGACCATAAAAGGGTTTGTTAGCCCATATACCCCGAGGGTAACGACGTCGTCCAATGAGAACGGGACGTAGACACGACTGCACCCGTGTCACGGAGCCGAGTCATGAGAAGCACGGAGTTTGCAAACCCGCTGGCAGCAATTCCGCGTAATTGCACTCGATGTCATGCGGAGCGTTCCAGGCATTGAGTCCGCGGATTTACGAAGGCATGAGCACGGTTGTATAATTCCTCGCTCCTTGGCACCAGCGCAGCGTCGGAGTCTTCACGACACCGTCTGTCCCTGGCCCTCTCTCACTCTCCTCTGCAGCCACTCGTCCACTTCCATCCCATGGTCAAGAAGCCTCCTGGGACGTCCCAGGACGTCAAGGGCAAAGCCATAGCCTTACAGAATGACGAGTCGTCCCCACCACCCGCCTCCGAAGAACGCGCCTCCGAAGAACACGCCTCTGAAGGTGCTGACTCCGGAGAACATACCTCTGAGGGTGCTGCCCCCGGTCCCGACCCCACCGAAGAGGGAACGGCCACCGACGATGAGGCCTCCGATAACACACCGTGGCTCGTGGACACTGCGACGTTCCCCTGCGTTCAGTGCTTCAACTACGGCCAAGGGCACTTGTGCCGCTACGTTGCTGGGCGCAAGAGTTGTGAGCAGTGTCGCAAAGGGAGGTTGATGTGCAGCGCGCGGTCTGGTACGCATCATCACCTGTCTCAGTTTTGGGCTTGTTGACATACTGTTCCCAGGCGAGTTCGCAGGACTTGACAACGCGAGTTTCATACGCTTCGTCTGCGAGACTCGGGCAGCTCAGAACAAGGTCACCCGGCGTCTCACCCGACTAGAGGCCTCGTTGGCCCGTGTGCAGGCTCGCGTCTACGAGGCACTCTCTGCCGATCTCAAATTGGGCGGACGTGTCGTCAAGGACAACCCGGTGGAGCAGGGATCCGATGGGATATCGGCACGTCACGACCCCGACAGCCTCGTCCTCGACATCACCTCGAGGGAGTCGTCGGAGGCGGTCGCATCCCAGCGCGAATCCGACAGCGTGATCGATGTCGACGCGATGTCTGACGTCCCCGTTGTCAAGACCAAGCCTCCGGTGGAGGAGTCTGACAGGGTTATCGCGATCAAGAAGGAGCCCGGGGTATCCGACCTCGAAGACGACGCACCTCTCGCCGGGCCTTCCAACGCTCCCCTTGCC